ATAACATGATATTTAATCTTGATGTGTTTGGTCCTACCATGCTGCACTGGATTTTGAGCAATAGCAATTGCTGACATGTTATCTACCTTGAGTACACAAGGCTCAATTTGATCAAAACCAAGTTCTTCAAGCACCATTCTAAGCCAAATAGCATGATTTGTTGCTGCTCCAGCTGCTAAATACTCAGCCTTAGCTGTGGACTGAGCTACAACATCCTGCTTCTTTGAATTCCAAGAGAAACTCCTTGAACCAAAGGAGAACACATAACCTGTTGTGCTTATCATATCCTCCATAGAACCTGCCCAATCACTATCAGCATACCCCTGTAACCTTCCTTGTTGATTACTGTTAAACCACAAGCCAAGTTCATAGGTTCCTTTGATGTACCTAAGAACTCTTTTGGCTGCAACTAAATGAAGTTTACTGGGAGCTGACATAAACCTTGACAAATAGCTTGCTGCAAACATCAAATTAGGTCTTGTAGCAGTTAAATAAAGTAGGCTACCAATTAAACTTCGGTAGTAGGAGGAATCAACCTTGGTTTCTCGATCATCCTTGGAAAGCTTTTCATATTGAACCAGTGGAGTGGCAACTGGTTTACAACTCTCCATTTCAAACTTCTTCAAGATATCCAGTGCATACTTTCTTTGGCAAATGAAAATTCCCTTGCTCAATTGCTGAACTTCAAGTCCCAGAAAATACTTTGTCTCTCCCAAATATGTCATTGCAAACTCTTGCATCATAACCTTCTTGAATTGTTCCATCAACTTCAAATCATTTCCAGTTAACAATAAGTCATCTACATAAAGTGACAAAATAAGCTGAGATTCACTGCTGCTGCCTTTCACATACAAAGTTGCTTCTTCTATGCTCCTCCTGAATCCTTGACTCATCAAGTAGTCATCAATTCTGCAATACCAGGCCCTTGGCGCCTGTTTTAGACCATACAAAGCCTTGTTAAGCTTATAAACATAGTCTTCCTTCCCTGTAATCTCAAACCCAGGTGGTTGTTCAACATAAATTTCCTCTTGTAGAACCCCATTAAGGAAAGCTGATTTTACATCCATATGAAACAACTTCCAACCCAAATTAGCAACTAATGCAATTAGAAGCCTTACTGTATCATGTCTTGCCACCGGAGCATAAGTCTCTCCATAATCAACCCCCGGTTGTTGAGCATACCCCTTCACAACAAGTCTGGCCTTATGTTTGTGTATAGAACCATCTGGATTTAGCTTAGTTCGAAACACCCACTTCACTCCAATAGGCTTCTTATCATCTGGTTTTGGAATAAGACACCAAGTTTGATTTTTTTTTATTATAGACAGCTCCTCCTTCATGGCATCAATCCAAACCTGCTGTTTAGCTGCTTCTTCAAAACAATTAGGTTCTGCAGAAGCTAAATTGCATCTTGCATAAATCTCAGCTAGTGACTTGGTTTTCAAAACCGGTGAATCATCATCAACTTCTGCAATTTCAGAACTGGAAACAACATCTGAACCAGCTTCACACTGCTTATTTGAACCTTTTTCTATCTTCCCTGCATCCCAATTCCAGTGTGCACTCTCATCAAAAACAACATCTTTATGCACATTTACCTTCTTGGATATAGGATCATACACCTTATAACCTTTTGCTTGTGTTGCATAGCCTATAAAGATCCCAATTTTTGCCTTCTCATCTAATTTTCCTCTTTTAGCTGCTGGAACATGATTATAACAAATTGAACCAAACACCTTCAAGTGATCAGCTGATGGTTTTTGACCATACCAAGACTCAATAGGTGTCATGCCTTTTACCGCCTTTGTTGGTAGACCATTTAAGAGATAGACAGCTGTATAAACTGCTTTAGCCCAAAAACATTTAGGCAATTTCTTCTCTGCTAACATGCACCTTGCCATCTCCATAATGGTTCTATTTTTCCTCTCTGCAATGCCATTCTGTTGTGGAGTATAAGACACTGTCAATTGATGATCAACACCAGCTTCTTCACAAAACAAATTGAAATCATTGGAGGTATACTCCTTGCCATTATCTGATTTGAGCTTCTTAATTTTGCATCTACTTTGGTTTTCAACCAAAGCTTTGAATTTTTTGAACACAGGCAAGGCTTGACCTTTGCTGCCAAGAAAGTATACCCATGTCATTCTTGTAAAGTCATCAATAAAGAGGATGAAATATCTGTTTTGGCTGAGAGATGGTGTTCTCATAGGGCCACAAATATCCGTATGCACCAGTTCAAGTTTCTGAGTTGCTCTAAAAGATTTATTCACAGGAAAAGGCAACTTATGCATCTTGCCTAATTGACAACTTTCACAAACATTGTCAATTAACTGCAATTCTGACAAATCTCGAACAAACTCATGTGTTTGCATAAATTTTAGGCCTTTGACATTGAAATGACCATATCTTTTATGCCATAAATCTGCATCCACAATTTTAGAAGTAGAAAAACACTGCTGCACCTTTTCCAA